CTGAAAGTCAAAGGATGGAACACAATATTACATGCCCCAGCATCTCAGAAAAAAAGCAAGGGTAGCAATCCTATTCTCAGACAGTCTCAACTTCAAACCAACAATGATCAAGCAAAATAAAGAAGGCCATTATATTCTGGTTAGGGGAAAAATTCAAGAGGAAGAGGTAATACTCATAAATGTGTATGCATGAAACATGGGAGCACCCAATTATATAATACAAATCTTAATGGACATGAAAAATATAATATCCAATACGACAATCTTAACAGGAGACCTTAGCACCCCCTTATACATAAAAGATATGTCAAGCAGGTAAAAAATTAATAAAAAGTAGCAGAACTGAACCAGAGCTTGGAAGAAAAGGACTTAGTGCATATATACAGCATGTTCCACCCAATCACAGCTGAATACACATTTTTTCAGGTTCACATGGATCATTTTCTCAAATAGACCACATACTGGTTCATAGGTCATGGTTAAGTATATTCAAGAAAGCAAAAATTATCCTATGAATATTATCTGACCACAGTGCAATGAAACTGGAAATAAATGAAACAGGACAAAAGAAACCAGGAAAACATCATAAATACGTGGAAATAAAACAACACTTTACTCAGCAACCAGTGTGTCTCAGAGAAATTAAACAGGAAACTGAACAATGTCTACAATTCAATTAAAATTCAAAAACCTTATTAGAATTTATGGAATTGATGAAATCAGTTCTCAGAGGGAAATTTATAGCTGTGAACTCACACATTAGGGAAACAGAATGGGAACAAATAAACACTCTAATGATGTACCTCCAACATGTAGAAAAGGAAGAGCAAACCAAACCGAAAACCCAAAGATGGGAAGAAATCATAAAGATTAGAGCAGAAATTAATTCAATTGAGACAAAGAAAACAGTTCAAAGAATTAATGAATCAAAATCCTGGTTCTTTGAAAGATTAAATAAAATCGATAACCCCCTAGGTAACCTCATCAAAAAGAGGAAGGAAAAAATTCAAGTACAAGCAATAAGGAAAGAAAAGGGTGTAATTGCCACAGACTCAGTGGAAATTCAGAAGATTATCTATAGCTACTTTGAGAATCTTTACTCACACAAAATAGAAGGCACAGAAGAAATGAACAGATTCCTAGAAAGGTACAAATTAGCAAAACTAAATCAAGAAGATATAATAACTCTCAATAAGCCAATAACAGACAATAAAATATGAAATGTAATTAAAAACCTACCGACAAAGAAAAGTCTATATCAGATGGATTCACAGATGAATTATACAAGAAATTTACACAAGATGTAATCCCTATACTGTTCAAAATCTTCAATGAAATTGAAAAGGAAGCAATCCTCCCAAAATCATTCCTGGAGGCAAGTATTATACTGGTATCAAAATAAGAGAAACACACAACAAAAAAGAAACTACAGGTCAATGTCCCTCATGAACATAGATGCAAAAATCCTTAATAAAATCCTAGCAAATAGAATTCATCAAATCATCAAGAAGTTTGTACAGCATGACCATCTAGCATTCATCCCAGGGATGCAACCATGGTCCAATATATGCAAATCTATCAATGTAACACACTATATCAAGAGATCAAAATCTAAAAATCACGTGATCATCTCAATTGATGCAGAAAAGACTTTTGACAAAGTCCAACACTCATTCATGTTCAAAGTCCTACAAAAAATTGGAACAGATGGCCTCTCCTTCAATCTGATAAAAGCCAAATATGACAACCTGATGGCTAACATAATTCTAAATGGGGAAAAACTGAATTCTTTTACTCTCAGATCTGGTACAAGAGAAGGATGTTATCTTTCACCACTCTTATTCATTATAGTTCTGGAATCATTAGCTAGACAAGAGAGAGAAATAAAAGGAACAACAATAGGTAAAGAAGTTGAATTATCACTATTTGCCAATGATATGATACATTACTTGGAAGACCCAAAAAACTCCACCAAGAAGCTACTATAATTTTTTTTAACAAAAGGAAATTTATTTCAAAAGCATAAGGGAACATTTACATTTAAACAAAGTGGTAAACAGGTGTCTTGTAAAAGAAAAATCCATGGTGTGAAGTTTTTCATTTTCATTTTTGAAGCAACACGCCCCCCCCCCGCTATTGCCTTAGAAAGGGAAGGGGAATGAAGAGTGTTAAGGGTACAGTGTCAAATCAGTATCAAACTTGAGACAAGTCACTTTTGTTCAGCTTTAAATTTACAAATATGCTTAAAAGAGAGGAAAACATTACACTTCATGTTCAAATTTATACAGCTGGGGCCCCAATTTAGTTTCTGAAATGGCTTTAGGGCATGGCTGATCTGTCTCTATGGGCCAGACCAGCTAGAAGTCTGCAAATGGTAACACCACATTCCTAGTCTCTTGGGTTACAAGGGAGCAAAGAGCAGCTCAGCCTTCTGGAATGTTCACAGAGATTATTGCCATCACTCCAGAGTCAAGCCGACCAATTTCTTAAGCTTACATGTATCATTACAGCCTTTAGCAATGGGTCTGTGACATTAGGGACATTATACTGTCCATATAGATGTGTCATTAATTCTAACAAAAGGGCTTTGCTTATTCCCAGTGTATAAGTAATGGTAATGAAGACACCTGCGTTGAAATCACAAACTATTCCTCAAAAAATACATCTGACTACTAGAAATGTAATTTGGGCATCTGATTTTAATAGCAAATTTGGGGAGAGAAGGTTAACTATGGAACAAAAATAGATGAAATAATCAAATGCAGAGCAATGGGTCTGTGACATTAGACACACTCCACAAATCTCCCATCTGTTGTTTTAATCTAAGGATTCTATTTACTAATTTATACAATAATTTGGTTAATAACCTGAGAAGTTAAAAGTCTTGAAAGTGGCAGAAGCAAATGGAGAGCCTCTCTTACTCGTACTATGCTATCAAGTCACTTTTCCTGGGTAGCCCTGGTTATTACATCATTTAATCCTAAATTATACTATCTCATCCTGTAACAACCTATATATACATCAGATTTGGCTGTATTTCACTAACAGGGATTCCCAGATTTATCTTTGAAAATACAGCTGCTGTTTTAGTTTTAAATAACAATAATTACATAAGTGCAACTGACTCAAAATTCCTCTCTATGGGGAGCAAAAATCTAGAAAAGTCAGTAATGGACTCAGCCTCCAAAGGACAATCACCATGTCAAAGACTACTCATCCATGGAATTTAAAATATTGATTTGTTGTGTAATCCTTTCACAGCATGCACATACATATATATGTATACACACATACATACAGGTACATGCTTATTATACACACACGTCTATTCAAATAGCAAGATCCCATATTTAAAAGGTGTATCCCAACATATGGAGAAGATGAAAAGAAGCAGTGCAAAGTAACTTGCTTTCTCCTAAAAATGTACTGTCACTTTTACTTTTAAGAAAGCCAGCATTTCCCAAAGAGGGAATGCTGCACTGCTGCTCAGCAGCTTTACTAAAATAACAAGAATAATAAAATGTTGAGATTATTACTCTTCTTCATATATTAGGTTAAAAAGATGGAAGAAAATCAGTTGCCTCTTAAAACTGATGATCTTTACCAGATTATCAGAACCAGACTGACTTTTATTACATTTTTAGACTCCAACTATCTCAATAACAAATTATTAAGATGTTTTAAAAGTAAACGATATGATGATATTGCAAAACCGAGACTGAGACACAGCATCCAAAAATACTGTGGTTTTACCTTGGACACACCATGGTCTATTACAAAAGTAGATTATACATACAAAGATATAAAGAACATTAAGTTTTTAACTGAAGGCAGCAATCCTTGAAAGGGATATCCCCGGCAATCCAATGAGTAGTAGAATTTATGTTTATTAAGCGTGTGATGATGCTTGGAGAATGTGATGTCTTATTCAGTAGAGTCTTCCTCGACTGCGATTTCCTCGGGCTCCCCAACCTCGGCCATCTCTACTTCCCCTGAAGGCTCCTCTCATAATTAAAGTTGCCCAAATTGCTGTTGTATTTCCCACTGGGAGGATTATAAATCTACCTGGCATCCCTTTTTGGTCCTGCTGGAGATTTCTTGGATGGTGAACCTGAAGTTGCATCTTCATTGGCTCTCTTTTGCCCGATCTCAACTTTCTGTATAGGTTTCCAAGATAATGTTACTGAACTCTTGTAAGATGGAGGGATGTGGAAGAGATCCTTGATTAAAACATTGATATTGTTTGTTATTTTCAATGCGAACAACTTTAATCTTGTTCTCTTCTGTTTTTAAGGCTTCACCTGTTTTACCCTGGAGAGCCAAGTGAAATTGTCAGATATAAACCTGCAAGCCCCGGGCAAAGTATTGAAGCCTGATTTTGAAATCTTTGAGCTTTTCTGCATTCAGTATGGCTGTTAAGAAATCTGGGAATTTTCAGCCCAACTGATGAAAACTGTACAACAAACATTCCACATAGCTGAACTGCAGCTTAGGTTCTTCATTACCAGCATTCTCTCCATTTTCTGCTTCTTCTGGTGGGAGAGGTATGTACTCCAATAACTTATCAAATAGTTTCCTTAAATTTGTTTCTAGCTTCTCCATGTCACCACAAAATGAATTCATTTCTGCCAACAATTTTAACACCTCCAATTGTATATCAAGACCCTCCACTGGGGTAGTTAATGTACCGAGGTTAGGGAGAACCTGCTCACAGAAATAAGTCACAAACCTTGTGGAATGGACATTTTTAGAGAAGAGAGGCACTCACCACCAAGTGCACTGGAGGAGCCTGTCCATGCAGTCGGGGTCTGACGGACTGAAGGTCTGCTCTAGGTCGGCCTGCTTGGCCAACAGCTCCACTAGCTGCTGCCTCCCACTCACTGTCTGTAAGCTCTTTAGCCCAGACAAGATCTTTATGAACAGAACAAATTCTTCACCCATCACATCTTCTAGGACTTTTTTGGATTCAGTTAGTATAAGTTCTTCTACTTCCTTTGTTAAGACTTCATCGGGTAAAGTCTTCAATTTTGTAGACAGGAATTTAATTGCGTGTTCTCTAACAATATCCTCTCCTTGAAGTATCTGGCTAAACAAGCCGCCTAGCATTCCTTTTGCATTCATCTTAAATATACTTAGGGCATTGTTCACTAAGTTAAATTCCACAGAGTCATCTGTCTGCAAAAGTTGGGTTAGTATATCTGCCACTCGGGGAAGATTTTCCCCAGTGGCAAACTGAGGCAGCTCTTTAATAGCTTGGAGTCGAATTGATACATCTTCATCTTCACAGAGGTCTAACTGTGCATTGATAGCAGAATCTGCCAATTCAGGAAAATGCTTGAAAAACTTAGGAATAAATTGAGCTGCTAATCGTTTTTCCTTGGTGCCACCTTTCATACCATCCAGTCTCACTTGATAGGCATCTTCATGCTGGCTCACTTGCTCCATGATATCAGCGAGGATACTGTAGTTGTGGTAGAGCTCCTCCACTGTTGGCATGGTGAGTGACAAACCCCGGCCCATTCCTGCTGTCAAAGCCACCGTCGTCGCCGGTGCCCCAGCCACCTCGGAACTTCTCCAAGCCTGAGACCAGCACTGTTATGTCTCCAGGTGCTGCCAGTGCTCAGAGAAGCTACTATAATTGATAGACAAATTCAATAGCATAGCAGGATACAAAGTCAATACCCAAAAGTCAATAGCATTCCTCTGCACAGATTATAAACACACTGAGAGGGAAATTAGACAAACAATACCTTTTACAATAGCACCAAGAAAAATGATATACCTTGGCATTAATCTAACTAAAAAAGTCAAAGCTCTTTTCAATGAAAATTACACTACTCTGAAAAAGAGATTGTAGAGGATCTCAGAAAATGGAAAGATATTCTATGCTCCTGGATAGAAGGAACCAACATTGTGAAGGTGGCCATACTCCCAAAATTGCTGTGCAGATTTAATACAATCCTATCAAACTACCTCTAACATACCTCATTTAGGAAATCATTCCTAAAATTTATTTGGCAGCAGAAAAGACCTAGAGTAACAAAGCCAAGGCAGGAGGCATTAAATTCCTGACTTGAAATTATACTACAAGGTTACTGTGATAAAATTAGCATGGTACTGGCAACAAAATAGACCTGAGGATCAATGGAATAGATTAGAAGATGCTGAAGCCTCTACAAACACACTCAGCCACCTTATCTTTGACAAAGGGGCCAAACATGCCTACTGGAAGAAAGATAGCCTCTTTAACAAATGGTGCTGGAAAAACTGGCTCTCTACATGTTGAAAACTAAAACTTGACCCAGATCTATCACCATGCACTAAGTTAAAGTCAGAATGGATTCAAGAGCTAAACATTAAAACAGAAACACTAAATCTTCTGGAAGAGAAAGTAGAAAGAACACTTGAACACATAATGGGTAGGCAAAGAGTTCATGAACAAAAATCAAATCACAAAAAAAAAATCAAATCGCACAAGTAATACTTGAAAGAATTAACAACTGGGACCAACATTTATTGAGAAGTTTTTGCAAGTCAAAAGCAATTACCAACAAAATGAAAAGATAACCCACAACTTTGGAAAATATTTTGACTAGTAAGCACTCAGAGAAAGGTGTTCTCCCTTCAATTTATAAAGAACTAAAAACATTAGCACCCCAAAATTTAAAGACACAATCCAGAATGGGCATTCAAGATGAACACACACTTCTCAGAGGATGAAATTAAAGAAGCGAATAAATATATGCAAAAATGCTACACATGACTAGCCATCCATGAAATGCAAATTAAAATAACACTGAAATACCATCACACCCCAGAAAGAATGGCTATCATAAAGAATTCAGTGAACAACAAATGTTGGAGAGGCTGTAGGGAAAAAGGAACACTTCTCCACTGTTGGTGGGAATGTAGACTGATGCAACCATTATGCAAATCGTATGGAGACTCCTTAAAAACTAGGACTAGAAATTCCATTCAAACCAGCTATCTCAATACTGAGAATTTACCCAGAGGAACTGGAAATGTCATAACCTAGTGATATATGTGTACTTAGGTTTATGGCAGCTCAATTTGTAATAGCTAAATCTTGGAAACAACCAAGAGGCCTGTCACCTGAGGAATGGATGAAAATGATGCAGTACTTTTATACAATGGAGTATTAGCTATAAAGAATGATAAAGTTGAAGCCTTTATATTGAAATGGATGCGACTTGAAGATATATTCATATGATAAATAAAGCAGAATACAAGTGTAAATGTTGTATAGTCTCCATAGTGTAAGAACTCAAAAGAAGAAATAAAAATAGAAAGGTATGTTCAATTAAAAGGTAAGTGAAAACTTGAGGATTATACAACAAAGAGAGGCAATGAGAAAAGCTAGGAAACATAACAGGGGTAAAGTCATATATTTATATGTGTAAGATGGGTAAGGCAAGGATCCTGAGAGTCTTCAGCATGTTTTTGAAACTAGAAGTTAATTGGTAGGATTCTGACACTGACTAACTATATTTACTGCTTCCTGTGAACTAAGCAACTGTACTGAAGATAGCAATATGTAATGGTAGGTTCATGCTTGGAATGCCTGTCATTCTGGTTGTGTAAATATGTACTGCTTTTCATTACACACCAGTTACTGCCATATGGTCTCTCAAGTAAATGTTTGTTTAAAAAAAGGTAATAAATGAAAACGAGACACAATAAAAAAAAGTCACAGGACTGCCTTGCTACAAGTTTGTACATGGTTAGATTTCTAAATTTCTGTGTGAAAATATGTAACTGTTTATTCCTATTTCATAAATTTTTTTCATTAAAAATTTTTTTCCTTCATATTCTGGAGGGATTTAAAGTTTAACAGATCAATACTTGATGGAAAATACCTGTTCCATGTTATGCCTAAGATGTTTGATATTCAGACAGCTAGTGAGGTTAAGCTCAACTGCTTATGTTGTAGGGTAATAATAATAAGCTTCTCTTCTGGAGTGTTAATAATCTAAGTTTGCAGACCACAAATTAGGGAAAATGAGGGGCTGCAGGGACAGCCTACATTTTAGCCCTAGCCTTTCAAAGTCAGTGTAGACTCAGAACATCAGAGATCCTATACTGCAACACAATGTAACTCAGTTGTGTCCCAAATTTTCTTACCAAGGAGATTATTAGGCCACAGAGGAAAGTGATCAAAGATGCAGGGGGTGCTCACTGCCAGAAACACATGTTTTGGTAGTACCACTCCTCAGCCACCCAAATATTTTGAGATTGAGTTATTGTGGGCCAAGGTAGAAGGGGCATCAGAAAGAAATGTGTGGCAAATCTTCTCAGGAGAAGAGTAGTTTTTGTCTGAACACATGGGACATCTCATGATTCTGGAACTACAAGACCCATCTGGGTAAGACAGCTATGAGTAAACTGTTCAGCCACTATTTCTATATCTCCAGGCTTTGGACCTCGCACACCTCAATGGCCAGCAAATGTGTGACTTGTGCTAACAGTAATCTAGTTTCTCATCCACAGTGTAAATCAGGCTTCTGCCAACAGGTAACCTTCCGTTTTGAGGATGTTGAAGTGGACTTTACTGAGGTCAATTTGATGGTTGGAAACAAAAGTATTTGTTGGTGCTTACTTGTACCTTCTTAAGATGTGTAGAGTCCCATCCCACCAGAACTGAGACCTCCAGTGAGGTGGTAAAAGCACTGATGGAACTAATCATCCTCCAGTATGGGATCCCCATTATGGTTGGCTCAGATAATGGGCCTGCTTTCATGGGTATAGTAGCCCAGAGTCTTCCCAGTGTTTTGGGCCTTAAATGGAAGCTAGATACTGCCTACTGACCCTAAAGCTTGGGTCAAGAATAATGGCAAAACTGCACCCTGAAGAACACTCTACCCAAACTATGCCAAGAGACAGATGCAAACTGGGTATCTATGCTTCTGATGGCCCCGATTCAGTCACATTGCACCCCATACCAGGATAGGCCCACTCCTTTTGTAATCCTTTTTGGAAGACCACCACCCTTGTTGCCAGTATTGGAGGGAATATGACAGATTGGGACTCTGAGCCTATCCAACAACAGCAACTGCAGACCTTGTAAAGGACTTTGGAGTGACCACAGAAAACTGTACTAGAATGTATGTCACACCCACTTCATAGCCCTGTACAAGTTCTCAAACCTGCTTTTAATTAAAAGCAGGAGGGAAGAGCCCCTCCAGCCCAGATGGGAGGGGCTATATGATGTCATCCTGACTGCACACCCACTTGTGTTAAACTTTGGATTCAACCTCCATGAGTGAAAAAGTGTGTAGCCAAAGTACCACTAACCCTGCCTTCCCCCAGACAATGCAGACATCAATGGTCTGAACAACTCAGGTGAAAGAAAACTCTCCAATTTCCCAGGGAAAACTCCCAGGCTGATATTACAGCTCAAGAGGTAAAATGAAAACCAATGGGGTCTCTAGAGATACTGCCTGTCTTTCCACCTCAAGTTCTGGAAAAACCCACCTACTCAGACTCTGATCTCATGCTGGCCAAGAGTTTAAAGACCATACAAACTTCAGAGGGCTGGCTGACACTGCCCAATTCAAGAGTTCTCCTCCTGGAGACACTAGGCTGGGAACCAGCTCAGTAGACCCATTGGGATACCCATTTAGGAGGAACAAAATTGTCAGAATTGTTATGGAGATCTTATTTCATCCCAAGGCTTGATTGGCTGCTGAAGGAAGTCAGCCAGAAATGTCTCCAATGCGCCCAAATCAACCTGTGCAAGACCTCCTCCAAAATGAGACACAGGATGTGAGGTACATCTCCTGGAGAACCCTGGGAGATTGATTTTAGAGAAATGACTCCTAGGAGAAGCAACGACAAATATCTACTGGTATTTTAGACACTTTTACAGAGTGGCCTGAGGCTTCTGCCATCCAGACTGAATCAGGCACTGTAGTTACCAAAGCTCCTTACAGAGATAGTTTCCCGACTTGGCTTGCCCATTACTCTGGGGCTTGACAACAGTCTAGCTTTTATAGCCCATATTACTGAAGAAATTTGCTCTTGAGATTCATCAAAAGAAATGTTGGGGACTATTCTTGATGTCACCTTGGATAAATGACCTGATATCTGCCTTAATTCTCCTATTTCTCTTAGCCCCAACTATCAGGCCCTGTATCATAAGCTGTTTAACTAAGTAACAACAAAGAATCCAGGCCGTCAAGTTAATGGTACTTAGAACTCAATACCAGCCCTTAGAAGTAACTGAGGAAAAAATGATTTGAATCCCAGGTAAAACCAGTGGGGGAATGTAACAGGTTAACTGAATTTTATAATTGGAAAACTAGTAGAAGGAACCTTGTTCTTCCTGTTATCTACTCTGAGGAATATGTGTTCTCGTGCTAACCACATCTCTCTTCAAGGCTGTTTAGGAATGAGTGACAGGTTCTTGTCAAGGCAGCTAGCTAAAGTAAACACCTTCCCTGACCATTTTTTGTAAACATAGTAAGTTTAAGATGTAC